TCAACCTCCAGGTTCCATTCCCATGAACCAGCAGTCACGAGGGCAACAACCATTTATGCCTGAGGTGAGTTCATATTCTTTCGTGAGTCATTTGTGTGCCTCAAATGTCGGTTTCTTGATTAGAGCATAATCCAAGATTATTGAGTTAATGAATATTGCTCAAAAACATGACTAACTTAGCCACAGCTGATTTGACATCTAACCTAAATTTTGTCATAACAGCAAGGTGATGGAGAAGGCCCTGCAAGCAACACCTACTCTCTCTTTAGTCCTATGAGTGGTGGGAATATGGGCATGGGTGCAGGCCCCAGTCGCACTGTTCCACATCCTCTGTACTCTAGTAACTCACAACCTAGTGGTCAACAGGTCAGTCTCTCCATCATAATTTGCGTATGTGTGTGCGTGTGTTTGTGGATATGTTTGTGTGTTTGTGGATATGCGTGCATGTTTGTGGATATGTGTGTGTGTGTTTGTGGATATGTGTGTTGTGTTTGTGGATATGTGTGTGTGTTTGTGGATATGTGTGTGTGTTTGTGGATATGTGTGTGTGTTTGTGAATATGTGTGTGTTTGTGGATATGTGTGTGTTTGTGGATATGTGTGTGTGTTTGTGGATATGTGTGTGTGTTTGTGGATATGTGTGTTTGTGGATGTGTGTGTGTTTGTGGATATGTGTGTGTTTGTGGATATGTGTGTGTGTTTGTGGATATGTGTGTGTGTTTGTGGATATTTGTGTGTTTGTGGATATGTGTGTGTGTTTGTGGATATGTATGTGTGTGTGGATGTGTGTGTGTGTGTGTGTGTGTGGGTGGCTATGGCTGTGTCTTTTGTTTGTCTATCAGTTGGTATATCTGTTTCTCTGTCTTTTGTGTGTGGTGCTATTCTGTGTCTTTTGTCTCTCTGTCTCTCTCTCTCTCTCTCTCTCTCTCTCTCTCTCTCTCTCTCTCTCTCTCTCTCTCTCTCTCTCTCTCTCTCTCTCTCTCTCTCTCTCTCTCCCCCCCCCCCCCCCTCCCTCTCCCTCTCTCTCCCTCCCTCTCTCCCTCTCCCTCCCTCTCTCCCTCTCCCTCCCTCTCTCCCTCTCTCCCTCTCCCTCTCTCTCTCTCTCTCTCTCTCTCTCTCTCTCTCTCTCTCTCTCTCTCGCTCTCTCTCTCTCTCTCTCTCTCTCTCTCTCTCTCTCTCTCTCTCTCTCTCTCTCTCTCTCTCTCTCTCTCTCCCCCCCCCCTCTCTCCCTCCCTCTCTCTCTTTCTTTCTTTCTTTCTTTATCTCTCTCTCTCTCTCTCTCTCTCTCTCTCTCTCTCTCTCTCTCTCTCTCTCTCTCTCTCTCTCTCTCTCTCTCTCTCTCATAATCTCCCTTTTCCTTTCCATTGTAAATTCATGAATCATTTTCTGTTTGCAGTCATTGTGGTCTGGGCCTGGCCCCTCACCCTTGGAGCGTCTGCTAGAGCAGAAGAAATACAGCAGTGTTCCCAAGTGAGGCATGAGAACACACAAAAATGGTATCAAGTCTGCAGAGAACAATTCTCCTTGCAGCCCCTCCCCAGGATCCTGACGCAGCCCAAGCAACATCACCGACACACAGAGGCCGGCAGATGAAGAGTGAACCTGTATACAAGCCGGAGCTTCCCGTACCGCATGAAGCTCATAGCGCCTTTGATTTCACTCTTTGCTTGGTAGGACAGGACCTGAAAGGGGCAACAAGTCAATCAGTACTAGGGCGAGCAGCCGTAGAGAGCTATGTCATAACCATGGTGGCAGGGGCATTGTAATAGTAGAGCTCGCATAATTTGTATTTGTGAAGGAATTGGCAATTGAAAGAAGTTTTCCTCCTTGGTGGCAGGTCAGCAAGGCTCAATTCCCCCCCTCCTTTTTTTTTTCTTTTTTTTTTCTTTTTCTTTTGTGTCTGTTGCACAGAATGGGAAATAAGATTTGAAACAAAGAAAGAAGAATTTTTGGATAAGATGCTGTCTAAGGTCTTATTTTAAAACTGCTAATAACTTCACCCTATGTTTCAGTGCATGAAGAATGTAGCTCAGCTGTTTTGCTTGAGGTTATCATTTTCCCTGAAAAAAGGAAAAAAAAAAAAAACTTCTGTGGCTAAAATGTTATTATCTGATTGTCAAGAAGTTAGAACTATGTTGTGAATACTTATAATTCTTTGTGGAAAAGGGATATTGTTGCAACAATAAGTCTTTTACATAGGATATGTATGATGGTCAAATAGCCGCAGATTGTTGTTCTTTATATTTTTTGGCCTTTTGTCATATTATAGTCTTAATATATTATGTGATATGTTTTTGCAATGGCGATCAGAATGCCGTACTGTGATCTGCTTGCCAGCATGTAACACCTTGATTACAGTCTTGTAATATTTATGAGAGTACAATGGTACTTATCCAATTTTTCATTGGTTTCCTCATTCACTAGTTATTCTCCATACAGACATAATACTATATATTTTGTTTTGTAATGTACATTCTAACTTTGAGTGAAATAAACCTTCC